CTCAGGGAAGGAGGCCATCTGCCTCGACTGGTTGGGTGAGAGTGGGGATGAGGGGGGAAGGGTAGCAGATGGAGAGCAGCAATACAGCAGGACAATAAATACTGTATGAATAAATATTTTCTGGGACAGGGAGGCGTCCACAGAGAGAACATGCACAGAACCTCAGGGGAAACAGAGTTAGTGACATGTAACGGTGGTTATAACTGTATGGAAGGAAGAGAGAGGAGAGGAGAGGAGAAGAGAGGAGAGGAGAGGAGCTCAGTACATCATAGGAATCCCCCAGCAGTCTTAAGCTATAGCAGCATAACTAAGGGACAGTTCAGATGATCCTGAGCAGCTCTAACTATCAGCTTTACCAAAGAGGAACGTTTTAATCCTAATGTTAAAGTAAAGAGGGTGTCTGCCTCCAGAACCCAAACTGGGAGCTGATTCCACAACAGAGGAGCTGATAACTGAAGGCTCTGCCTCCCATTTTGCTTCTGGAAACTCTGGAATCACAAACTAGACCTGCAGTCTGAGAGTGAAGGACTCTGTTAGGATGATACGGTGCAATAAGGTCTTTAAGGTCAGATGGAGCTGGTCATTAAGCGTTTTATATATTAGAAATAGGATTTTAAATTCTATCCTGGATTTTACAGGGAGCCATTGAAGAGAAGCTAATACAGGAGAAACATGATCTCTGTTACTGGGTCTTGTCAGAACTCTGGCTGCAGCATTTTGGATCAGTTGAAGCTTTTTGAAAGCTGTTCGGACATCCTGATAATAAGGAATTACAATAGTCCAGTCTAGAAGTTATACATGCATGGACTAGTTTCTCAGCATCACTCTGAGACAGGATGTTCCTGATTTTTACAATTTTACGTAGATGAAAGAAAGCTGTCCTACAGTGATGTGCGGTGAGGTTCATGGCTGGTGAGGCACTGACTTCATCAGAATCTGATTTACAAATATATGCATTCTACACAGTAGCATATTTGCCATTTGATTGGCAGCAGTTTACGGATTATGTTTCATATCTACATTCTTTACACATACAAGCTGTAGCCCATAAAACACATGTGTCTTTTCTTTCTTTTTTTTTTTTTATTGTGGTAAATTATTGTGGTCTTACCTTTACCTTTAAATGAAGTCCATGCTCCGCTCCTTCTGAACAAAATATCCGGAGCTTTTTTGTAAAAGTCTCCTTATCTTCCTTCGCTGCACTTGACTTGCTAATTAACTGCCTTCCTCACCTGGAACCTCTTCACAGCCGTTTAAAATCGCTCAGCACACATA